GATTTAAAAAATATTTTCCGTTCAAAGTTGACCCTTCTAGACTTTCGTACACAAGCATCGCTGTCAAAATCTGTAATAGGATATACAAAAGTGCAAGGAAATTCGTATTTTGTCTTTAGTGCGACAGGAATCCTTATTTTACCTCTCACACTTGAAGGGGGGAGGGGGTGTGTTGAGTAGCTTCGACACGTCTCCTTTTATTCTTGTCATTAGAGTGTAGCTTTAGCTTACATTGTTATGATTCTGAACTTTTATGAGTTGGCACATATGCTGTATAGACATACCATCAAGCATATTTTTTCGAAGGTTGATCGAACAAATGTCACCCATTGTCTAGTTCTGTATTTATATAGTAGTCTAAAATGGAATGATTGGGTGGCGCAGTAGATACCGCGCTCGCCGTTCACCAAGGCAACCGGGGTTCGATTCTTCGATTGTGCTTGAAACGGTATGGTGTCACCTGCCCGACCACGTGGGCTCCCTCTGGGTTCTCGAGTTTCCTTCCACGTTAAGATCCCCCGCGCGCTAACATCGTTGCCAACAATAGTTATTAATATAAGTTGATAGATTTTGTTTCGTAACTGTTGTAAAATAAATAAAGTTTATATGCAACATAACAATGCTAGTTTCTTTATTGTCGGTGTTGTTTGATTGTTATTGGACATCATACATTAATATGTTTATCTCTCTCTGCACAAACGCTGCATGTTATAGTGTTACCCTCGTTATACTGTCACCAATAGTGGTGGTCAGCGAATCGAAGTGTCGGAGTTATTTCGGGATTGGTGATATTTTGAGACATAGCTATAACGGCATTTTCATAAATGTTATAAAGGACCTTAAATTACACTGTCATCCTAATCCTACATTGTATTAGCGAGGATGTTATAAAATTAGGGTCACTATATAAAAAAACTGCGAAAAATTAAATACTTTACTATTACATTGTTTTTCTGTAGCAAAATTAACCAAAACTAATTAACAACACCAATAAAATGGAGAAATGAAAAATACATTGTATACGACCACATTATGTGGGTTCGTGTGCAACTAGTGCAGATCGCACAGATAAAGGTGTCCGCTCGTGACTTCTTACAAAACGTATTGTCATGCTTAAGGTCAACGTTATAAATCTGTCCATCTAAAATGAACGTGTGACTCATACGATGTACCACTAAGAAATGTTTGTTTTGTACAGTCGAGCAGTTCAAACATTCATATTCAATTAGTTTTATATTATATTCATTTTCGATACTAGAAATTATTTACTCCTTATTTTTTCCCCCGTTTTCATTAATGCCTAATTAGGGAAATATGGGCAGTTATCCGCCATAGCTCTTTGTCAGAAAAACCCCCCATAGATAAAAAAAATGTTTTTATCTCAGATACTACTGTGGAGACATTTACCAATACGGCCATTTTTTTGTCATATATATATATATATATAGTGGTCGTTCTAGACAGGTAATGGAGTTTATGATTGATATATTACGATTTATATACCGTACACGTGGTCTGGTAAGGATCCCAGTACCACTGTCAAAAACTGTATAGGATATGAATACTACTGGGGACTTCGTGTTTCGTCTTCAGTGGGACAGGAATCCTTATCTTACCTCTCACACTTGATGGGGAGTGTCTGATTAGCTTCGACATGTCTCCTTTCATTCTTGGCATTAGACTGTAGCATAAATTGTTATGATTCTGGAATTATGATTATGTAGTGGCACATGTGCTGTATAGACATGCCATACTACATATTGTTCCTGTAAATATCTCTCATTGTATAGTTAATATTTATATAGTCTGTTGTTACATAGAGTGGTAAGGTGGTGCAGTAGATAACGCACTCGTCGTTCACCAAGTCGACCCAGGTTCGAATCCCAGAAAGGTATGGGGTCATCACCTACCCGACCACATGGGTTTCTCCGAGCACCACGCAGAACCCGCCGCGCACTTACATCTGGGTCAACAAGATTGATTAATATAAGTTAAAATAATTTGTTTCATAATTGTTGTAAAACAAATAGAGTTTATAATTACCTTTAACATTGAAATGCCAGTTTCTTTATTGTTTACATATTTCTAGTATTATTGTTATTGAACGTCTTACATACATATGTCTATCTCGCTTTCTCTGCACTTTTTTTGCTGAATTTCACGTACTACTAAAGATACATTAATTTTGTATATCAGTTTTAAGTAATTCTTATCCTACATTATGTACAAACAAACGTTGGTAAGGATCCAGTGTTATATGGGATTTTGCCGTTGATATTACTGATACAACACTCTTGTTGCTCCTCGTTATACTGTCATGAATACCGTTTATCAGCGAAGTGTCGGAGTCATCTCCGGAAACGACGATATATCGAGTCATAGCTATAAAGGCATTGTGCAAAAATATTATAAACGACCTTGAATATAATTGTCATTAATTGTATAAGCGAAATGACTATTAAACTAGGGTCACAATATCAAGGATGAACGACAACTAAAATACTTTTCTGTGAAATTATTTTCTGTAACAATACTGAAACAAATTACCAACACCAATGAAATGGAGAAATGATAAATAAGTTGTGTACGACCACATTATGTGGGTTCGTGTGCAACAAGTGCAGACCGCACAGAGAAAGGTGTCCGCTCGTGACTTGGCCTAGGTCATACTTACATTACACACTCTTACACATTTACGAAAATCGTTTTGTCATTGGTCAATGTTTTAAATCTGCCGATCTAAAATGAACGTGTGACTAATACGATGTACCACTTAAGAAATGTTTGTTTTGCACATTTGACTTTTTGACTTGAAGCATATTTATTGTCCAAATGCAAATGAGTACAAGGGATTTGGCACAAGTTATTGCAACTTATGAAGTCATCTCCTATCAACATTTCAATAAGTGTTTATACAGACAGACAATTACAAATGTGTAGTTCCTGTTTCATTAATATATACGATTACGTACATTCAATTTATCTTTGCTATCTATTGTCTTTCTAGTATTTCGTATGAAAGTAATTATTTATTCTGTTCAATAATCCGTATCGATTGAAACGCGGCATAGAGTATTGTAGCCGCCCTCGCAATACTGTCACCATTTGTTTAGGGAAGTGTCAGAGTCGTAAACGGGGTTGGTGATATGTGGAGGTATATTTTTAAAGGAATTAATTGAAGGGGGAATAAACAGATATTAAATATGTTGTTTTTTAACGAGGTAACAGGAGGATCACTATATCAATAATTTACGACAAATACAACGCGTTTCTATGACTTCTATAGCAACACATTATAAAACAGATTGGCAAAAAAGTTTGTGGTGTGCAGATCAGCATTATGTGGGTTCGTGTGCAACCAGCGCACAGCGCAGAAAGGAAGCTGTCCTCTCCTGATTACGCATAGCCATCCTTACATTACACACGGCTTCATTTGATAAAAGGAAGATAGGATATGTTTCGTCATGCTTGTGGTGGACCTTTTACGCAAATAGACAACACATACACTTATGACATTCAGTTAATCCTTACGCTAGCATTTACATGTCATACAGTATCGGCACTGTTTTAGTAGTTTTATTGATATTTGACGTCTTGCATAGACTTGCCACTTTTCAACACTCTTTTGGTACAATTTACGTTGAATGTCTTACTGCATAGACATGCTACTTTCGACAATTTCTTAGTAGTAAAGTTTTATTTTGAACGTCTTACACGTTGGACCCTTTCTTGGTTTATCTGGTATGATAGTTATTTTTAAAATATTCCATACAAAATTTCTTATCGATCCAAAAAATGACTTTTCTATGAATTCTATCTTCGTGACTACGCTAGGAGATACATGTAGTACATTGCACGTGACTACGCTAGGAGATACATGCAGTACATTGCACGTGACTACGCTAGGAGATACATGCAGTACATTGCACGTGACTACGCTATGTGATACATACATTACACGTGACTGCGCAAGGTGATACATACATTACACGTGACTACGTTAGGTGATACATACATTGCACGTGACTACGCTAGGTGATACATACATTGCACGTGACTACGCTAGGAGATACATGCAGTACACGTGAATACGCTAGGTGATACATGCAGTACACGTGACTACGCTAGGTGATACATACATGACACGTGACTACACTAGGTGATACATACATTACACGTGACTACACTAGGTGATACATACATTACAAGTGACTACACTAGGTGATACATACATTACACGTGACTACGCTAGGTGATACATACATTACAGGTGACTACGCTAGGTGATAATACATTACACGTGACTACGTTAGGTGATACATACATTACAAGTGACTACACTAGGTGATAAATACATTTCACGTGACTACGCTAGGTGATACATACATTACACGTGACTACGCTTGGTGATACATACATTACACGTGACTACGCTAGGTTATACGTACATTACATGTGACTACGCTTGGTGATACATACATTACACGTGACTACGCTTGGTGATAGATACATTACATGTGACTACGCTTGGTGATACATGCAGTACATTGCACGTGACTACGCTAGGTGATACATACATTACACATGCTTATATTATTTAAAATGACGATCAAATTTTATTTCATGGCGGCGATTGACCTTTTTCAATTTGTCGATTGTTAACAATTGCTTGACAAATACGATGCACCATTTACGGAAGGTTAGCTTAGAACACGCTTTGTTTTGTCAATTTACATGATTTGTTTAACATTCAATTAATCTTTACTATAGCATATACCTGTATATAAGTTTTTATCAAATTTCTTTACTTTTAAGTTTTGTTTGCACTCTTCATCTTTTCACATATACGTTTGATGTATTCTATTATGTGAAAATATGTTAGTGCCGTTTGGCAAAAAATCACTTTTTAATTGAGGATATGTGTTAAAATAATGCAAATCCAATATATAAACGCAAATGAAATAATGTTCACATGATATTATTGTTTTGGACTTTTCTAGATGAGAACAAGACGGATAGTTGTATCCCGCGATCCGTGGAGGAGTTCCCTGGCAACTTTATGTCACTGGAGGACACACAGGACGGTGGCTTCCTCATACATATCCTCTTTGTCGTGTACATATTCGGGGCCATAGCTATCGTCTGTGACGACTACTTTGTGGCGTCGTTAGAAATTATATGTGATGGTAAGTCTAATTAATGATGTACCAATAGGAATTTATAAACTGGTAAATCTTGTTTGTGTAATTGTTTTCGTTTGAAGTTTGTGTGTGCCGCTCCAGGATCGTTTTTCCTATTTATCACGTCATCTCTATACAGCGTCGGTTAGCTGTACATCACGTCATCTCTATACAGCGTCGGTTAGCTGTACATCACGTCATCTCTATACAGGGTCGGTTAGCTGTACATCACGTCATCTCTATACAGCGTCGGTTAGCTGTACATCACGTCATCTCTATACAGCGTCGGTTAGCTGTACATCACGTCATCTCTATACAGGGTCGGTTAGCTGTACATCACGTCATCTCTATACAGGGCTGGTTAGCTGTACATCACGTCATCTCTATACAGGGTCTGTTCGCTGTACATCACGTCATCTCTAAACAGCGTCGGTTAACTGTTCCTCACGTCATCTCTATACAGTGTCGGTTATCTGTACATCACGGCATCTCTATACAGCGTCGGTTACCTGTACATCACGTTATCTCTATACAGGGTCGGTTATCTGTACATCACGGCATCTCTATACAGCGTCGGCTAGCTGTACATCACGTCATATCTATACAGCGTCGGTTAGATGTACATCACGTCATCTCTTTACAGCGTCGGTTAGCTGTAAATCACGTCATCTCTATACAGTGTCGGTTATCTGTACATCACGTCATCTCTAAACAGCGTCGGTTAACTGTTCCTCACGTCATCTCTATACAGAGTCGGTTAGCTGTACATCACGTCCTCTCTATACAGGGCTGGTTAGCTGTACATCACGCCATCTCTATACAGGGTCGGGTAGCTGTACATCACGTCATATCTATACAGCGTCGGTTAGATGTACATCACGTCATCTCTATTCAGGGTCGGTTAGCTGTACATAACGTCATCTCTATACAGAGTCGGTTAGCTGTACATCAAGTCATCTCTATACAGGGTCGGTTAGCTGCACATCACGTCATCTCTATACATGGTCGGTTAGCTGTACATCCCGTCATCTCTATACAGGGTCTGTTCGCTGTACATCACGTCATCTCTAAACAGCGTCGGTTAACTGTTCCTCACGTCATCTCTATACAGCGTGGGTTAGCTGTACATCACGTCATCTGTATACAGGGTCGGTTAGCTGTACATCACATGATCTCTATACAGCGTCGGTCAGCTGTACATCACGTAATCTCTATACAGCGTCGGTTAGATGTACATCACGTCATCTCTATTCAGGGTCGGTTAGCTGTACATCTCGTCATCTCTATACAGGGTCGGGTAGCTGTACATCACGTCATATCTATACAGCGTCGGTTAGATGTACATCACGTCATCTCTATACAGCGTCGGTTAGCTGTACATCAGGTCAGCTCCAAACATGGCCCCTGTTTCAAAAGAATCGCGCGGCAGCGTAAAGACAAAGTTGAACAGATATAGAGTCGGGTGTCGTTCCACTGTAATTATCAAAGGTATCTAGCTAGCGGTTTTCGATTTTTTAACTGAAACCAACCAATCATCCATGAAATGACGAGGATGCCTTTGCAGTTGTACTTTTACAAATGTATCTATATATATTTGTCAGGTCAATTCCATACGGTGTATTGAATCTTAATCAGATCGATATTGTGTAGCAATTATTTCGAGGTAATTCTAATGTCACCAGCGGAAAGCTGATTTCTAATTATAATGTTAGAATATCATTTAATAAGCTAATACATTGATTTGTGGTACCATACTGATACTCAAACCTGGACAATGTCAACATGGTTTTTAAGATGTAACGATACTATGATGCTTATTTACATGAACGGATTGTTCGTCAAAATATATAATTTGCATGTCTGTCGTATCCTACTCAGAAGTAAATACTGTTTTTACTCAAAAATGTAATATCGTTCGTATCAAAGAACGTCTGCACATGGACTAAAACAAAGTGTATGCTACTGTATTTGAAAGCATGGGCTTTGAGCAAAGTGTGCGCTTGAACGCAATAACTTTGCATTCAAACGATTGTAATTTCATCATTATGTCGAAATCGCTAATTCAATCGCGAATATGCAGATACTCGGGAGGCGAACAACAACAGATCACCCTGATCTCCCAAACTATTAAAAACTGTTTTCATTGCTCTCTTAACGGAGGATATTTTTGTTAATTAATGCAGAATTATGACGTGATTTATTACATTTTGTTTTCAAGAATTACAATTGAGTGAAGATGTCGCCGGAGCAACATTTATGGCGGCTGGCAGCTCTGCGCCCGAGCTGTGTACGTCGCTTATAGGTAGGTACGCACTGTGTTATCTAGGTAACGTTGATGCTTTTACAGAAGAATTCCATTTCTGAGACTTTTCGAGTAAAACATAAAGTTTTATGGTAAAAGGAAATTTGATATTATTTGTAGCGCAAACATCAAACTTGCTTTTCATTCGTCCTCTGTAAAGGTTATTTGATGAGTTTCAGTATTATTTTATAGAATTATATGGAACTGTAATATACAATATCAGATTGTTCATCTCTGTGCCGACAACCAAAACAAAAGGCCGTGTGTCTGTAAACCCTCTGGACTTGATAGGTATTTATGTTTTATATGATCATCGATAAGAATATGATACCGCACCTGTATTTATAACAGTGACATAATGCCTAATCATCTCTATTTACAGGTGTGTTTATTGCTGAGAGTGACGTCGGGGTAGGCACAATTGTTGGATCAGCAGTCTTTAATATTCTATTTATTATCGGAGTGTGTGCTATATTTGCTGGAATGGTAAGTTTCAATATCATTCCGTACCCTATAGATAGTTATACGGAAAAACTATTTAAGAATTTCCCCGCAATTTAACTTTTTCTTACCCCCCCCCCCCCCCCCCCCCCCCCCCTTAATTATTTTCTAATTTACGATAGGAAGCGGATATGTTAGAAGGATGTTTTGCACCATAACGTATAGCGATGGAATACAACACGCCGGCTATACAATTACATAAGCCCCTTATGTCATACACAATCAGTTGCCATGGAAATGTCACAGAACTCTAAACATACGTACTTTTCCGTATAAGCTATGCATACCTTTATCATCGTAAACTTGTTGGAGTTAGTGTTAAATCAAATTGGCCGACCTAAAACCATATTAGTTCTCTTAAAACAGACAACATTAATATCAATTTGTTTCAAAGCGACATTTCCAACACACTTTCCTAACATCGCAGAGGGCAAATAGATCGATAGTGTGGCGGAGAATACCTTTCACCTTTTTTGAACAAATGCATCATTTTTGCATGTTTCTAGGTTTGAAGCCATACCAAGGGAAATAGGCATGTGTATAACTATCATACACGGAAGGCACACAGTGCTGGCTGAAACATGTAATAAACAGTTGTTTACGCCATCACTACCGAGCATTAAGTAACATTTAAATGTCACCGAGTACTTCTTAAAATATGGTATATATAAATAATAATAATAATAACTCGAGGTTCTTATATACCGCTTTATCACATCCTAGTTCATAGGCCGTCTCAAAGCGGTTCACAAATTATCATCCGTGGTTATAGGGCCTTTGCAGTCAGCCAATATCTTTCTCAAATCTCTGGGGAGCATTATAAGCCGGTGCTGCCATTTAGGTGCTCACAGCTAGCAATCTACAATTGTAGCACTGCCCAACCAAATGACAACTTCTTTTAATTTTTCAAATGAAACTTAAACATCCATTCAATAAGGCACTCACTCGCTTTGCGGTTGATATCACTTTTCCAGCCATTGTGCCAGTGCTTTTACCTTTGACTTTGTCTTCGAAATAGTTCAGATACGACTCACTCTCACAGCTATGTGAATAGAGTATATTACACGAGCTAAAAGAGGTCATCTAAGTGTACTGGTAGACTATTTGCTTTGGTTACAATTTGTATTTTACAGTTATATGATGAACACAAGAGATAAAGTCTAGTCCCCGTGTTGTTTGTAAACATGTGTCGTTCGCCTTAAGGTATAATACTGGTCGAGAAGAACAAGAATTTTACTAGGAATATATCACGTAACCGCAAATTTTAATTGTATAATTATACCGTTTCTAACTGCAGGGACAATTTAAAAGCTGTTTTCTTAGCTGCATATTCCGAAAACCCTATAAAACGCCATATCTGCTCTTTCAGTTTCGTCTGCAGTTGTATTTCTATTGATCAATAGAATAAAATGAGAGGTTAAAGCCTAATACTAGTTTTGCACAATAATGAGCGGGGCAATTGACATTTGAGATCACGTTGTTGTTTTCAATGATAAGTTTTATGACAAGGAAATAGAAGTAAAACTCAAGTCGATAAAATAAACTAATCGCTCGGAACATAGCACATATCCGTCAAATTAGAAAAATGGTATACAATTTTGAAGCATTATTTTAATTCAGCTTTGGGCAATATAGGTTTGGTTGGTCCAAACTACCGGGGAAATATTAAAAAAAATATAGTAAATGAAATTATATCAAATATTATTGTCTTTGGAAGATGCCCAAACCAATCGTTCAATAATGTTTATTTTCTATCTTTTGTAAGTAATGATTAAATACTTTGTAAACATTCATAATGTGAACGGTACATTGTACATGCATATTGTTTGCTTGGCCACTATAACTGTGATCCAGACGTCATTATTCACTGGTTATAGTTCTCTCTGACAAGACTGTGGTTTTTAGTTGTTCCCCGGTTAGAGCGAAAACGCAATATGGGAAAAACTACCTAATATGTCATAAATATGCAAGACCACACGTTTGTGTTTTTCTAACGAATCAGAAAACACGAGTTTATTGCGCGGACGAATATATACGTCCGCGCAATAAATGAGTGCTTTCTGATTCGTTAGAAAAACACCAGTGTTTGGTCTTGGTTTTATCACATACTTTCCGTATTTGGTAGAGATCGATACAAAGATTTTATAAACTTTGATATTTTTCGCAAATACCGGAAACTTTTCAGTTCGCTATGACAAGTGGATTCCCATAAAAATAGTTCCGGCTAGTTAGTAAATACAACATTCTGTATTGCACATGTGCAATACAGAACGTTGTATTGCATGGTCTGAAACTTGTGTGTATTACTATAACAAGATTCTACAGGTGTGTGATAAAGAACAAGAAGTAGGTTAATACATTTACTGTAGTATTCTTTTAAAACAGATGTAAAAACACAAGGGGAAAATTGTTTTCAAAAAAACGTTTTAAAAACATTTTTGAAATCATGTTCATCGGGAACGAGATGAATGTCTCAAGGCTTCAAATTAAGGCTAGGGAGCCGTTTTAGGTGAATGTGATGGTAAACCTTTTCAAGAGGTATTCAGTCTGGATTTAATTTTCTGTTATCGACGGGGTGTTCAACGTTTACTCTGACAAACGATTCCAGTTTTTAATCGCTCCTGCTGAGGATGAATCCTTCAAGCAGTCAAACCTGGTATACTGTTGATAACTTCTCCTGTTCTCTATTTAACAAGTGTTCAACAAACATAACATTAGAAAGAATCTTAGATGAATGAGTATCACGTGCCTAATTTAAAAGAAATGCCAACTATCTGCAGGTTTTCTTTCTCGTTTTTTAATACCGAAGTTTTTTTCTGAGCATGCCATCGATGCTGACCTATTCTCACATAACTAGCTACACTTCTTATGTATACCAGGGCGTACTAAAACGGTCTCACTATATGTATACCAGGGCGTACTAAAACCGGTCTCACTATATGTATACCAGGGCGTACTAAAACCGGTTATCAGGGCGTACTAAAACAGGTCTCACCATATACAGTGGTCTATTGTCCGTTTTGGATATCATTGTTAGAGTTAACATCTATGTCCACCAAACTGTCCACGTATGAACCTTAATAAGATGGAGTGTTACGTCCTGAAATCTGTTTAAGTTTCCCACATTATACAGAGTTATATTTATATTTGGTGTGGCAAAGCCCTTCTATATTACTACTAAAGTACTGCCAATAGCAGCTTCATCTTATGAGACTTTAACTGAAGTTGGTCTTTGCACCTCCGAGCGACTTAACAGTGTCACTACCGACTTTATCGGAATCTTCTGCTTTGATCCCGAACACCAGCTGCCTGTCTCATGTATCAACAAGTCCTCTCATTTGAAGTTGGCACAAAGTCGGGTTTTTCACTCCTATGGTAGCTTACTATAGCCGGGAGATTGTCCTAAGACGATATCCAGTTGTCATCAGACACTGGACTTTTTCACACTTTTCACTGACTTGAAACTTGTCTATAACTTTTTTTCAAGCTGTGAGTATGAAATGATATTTATATCAATTGTACTTCAATTTTCGTTTGCACCGCTGTTTTCTCTCATGTCACGTACACTCTCCGTTCTTATCCATTTTGTACTCTTCATATTTGGAGGAAATATAGATATGACGAACTACAAGTCAGATTTCTCAAAGGTCTTGTCAACCGCACATTTTAGGCATTTGTTTTGTTTCCATTGCATTTCTTCCAACGTCTTTCCTGAACTTCCTGTCTCGGACCTTGTCCAGATTTCTCTTCCTCGAACTTTTGGTCAGACTATTCTATTTTTCATTTAATTCGCTTGTATGCTACATATTGAAATAGAAGGACCTAATTTATTCATTGAAAATTCAACTTTGAACAATCAATTCAAAGTGTTTGCGTTGGTTATCCTGATCCCTTTAGTCGCCTTAAAACATTCTTGTTCTTCCGAGTTGCACAGCATTTTACCTATAAAATACATTTAGTCAGTTTTCACATTGATCTCATTTCTCGTTTTAAGGTGACGAAAACACAAATTGAAGACCTTGAAAATCAAAAATATCTCATCCCTTTAATGATTTCTTCTATTACAAAAATGAGCAAAGTACATGTCTTCAGTTTGTGTGGTTCATTCAGTGGGTTCCAGTGCCTGTTACAGTGAGATTTGTAGTACCAGGGAACTCTGTAGGAGGGCGTAAGAATTGTACCCGCTGCCCCCATTGCATGATCGTAAGAGGCGACTAAATTTGGGATCTTATGTTTTTTCTTCATGCTAAACAATTTTCTTCTCCCTAATGTTTGCCTTGACTATGCCACACTTTTTGTTGAGTGTTCGCCCCTGTGGGGAAGGCTTTGGGTTCTGTCCCCTGGCCGAGATATACCAGAGTCTGTAAAAATGGTAGTTTCTACTCCTGCTTAACGCTCAGCAATTGGTTTGCCCGTTGTCAGTATAATGTGACCGATTGGGGTGTCGTGTTGGGTGTCTTTGGCATTGTTTCAGTGAGGTAGCACTTTAAAATCAGCATGGGTTCCGCGCTATCACAAGGAGACAAACACGGACATATCGCAGCCTCCAAAACACACACGCATACACAACACGCATGCATCTTGCACACAGGGGAGGCCGTCCTTAAATGACCATAGCTGTTGATAGGACGTTAAACAATACTAAACCAAAACCAGTGAACTCTACATCTAAATATTCACTTCAGAAGGCTTGATCTCACCAAACAAAGGCTATTACTTAGCTGAAAGTGCAATGATTTTTTTCTTCGTTGTTTTCTTCTTGAAATCAACACTCTTTTCAACGCCCTTTGACACCAATTAATTGCTGAACGCAATCACGGCATAGCTGACTCGAGGGAAGTATCTGAGCGCTAAACTCGGGCACTATACATAAATAATTTACAAGGCTCTGCCAGCAATTCAATGTAGACTATCAGGTTCTGCCTTGTATGTAATACATAACGTATATAAAGCCTGGATCTTAACACTCGTCAGGAATGGTGACATCCTGACAATGACACTTAGACTTCCCCACTCACCCAGTGACACCTGCGCATGAGGGATCAAATTATGATTTACTTCATTATAAGATAATAATCAAGTAAATGATTTAATAATAATAATACTGCCAGCAGTCGATATGGTATGAGGAGCTGATCGATGAGTACGTGCCAACACTACCGATACTGGCAGACGAGAGTACGTGCCAACACTACCGATACTGGTAGACGAGAGTCCGTGCCAACACTACCGATACTGGTAGACGAGAGTACGTGCCAACACTACCGATACTGGTAGACGAGACAGATTATCATATATTTATACATCGCACTGGAGCAGTTACATAGCACGCGTCTTGTTCCTTCTCGTAATATTTGTGCTGTAAGTAACTGATGTTATCATATTTCAGAAACTTCAAAAATCTGATCCAGAGCTCAAGTGTTTGTCTTCTCGGTACTTCCTATTTGACTTTTAAATTACGTTGCTGTATAGGATATGCTGAACTCTGCATTTGCTATATCCAAAACCGAACAAGTCACGCTGTGTTTGATGTCATGAAGCTGAAAAACCAGTAGATCATTTAACCGGGAATGTATGCAAGATCTTTATCGACTTTTGTGACATAATGAAAGAAACAATAGCTTTTAATACTCAAAATTAGAATTAACATTCAGTAATTGGATTGATTATAACAAAGGGTATACTGAATAGCCTGACAACAATGAACATGTCCCCCTCATATATAGAGGATATGTCACAAGTTTCCCTTCCTATTAGATTGATGATACAAGTTTTGGATTTTTCATGTTTGCAACCCTCAGGCGAGCAAAGATGAAAAATCCAAAACGAGTATCATAAATCTAATATGAAGGAAACGAATGACGGATTCTTTTTACCATATGATACAAAGTAAACTGTATACTTGTGAGCTGTGATTTTGCACTTGTCCGCCTTTGAAACGATCAAATGTTCGTTCGCTTCACAATGACGTGACGTCACATCGATTGTTCCTATTCAATTGTGACCTCATTTCCGGAGTGATATTACACACGTTACATAAACATAATTTATGTGAGGGCTTTATGACACGGTATTCATATGACAAATTGAATCAAAATTAGGAAAAAGAAATAAAACAGAAAACGCTTACTTTTACACAAATAGCATACAATATGCATTTACAGACCCCCGTACCAATGCTCTCAGCTTTGATAAACCATTTCTTCAAAAGCAAACCTGGACATTTATGAAAACTAATAAAGATGAAATAAACTAAGCATAATCAATCACTGTGTTCTTATGTGCTACCTTGGAAACGGAAGTGTACAGGCCCAACCGTGCTACAGTTATGTCAAACGGAAGTTAAGGAAAAGTTCCTGTAAAATAAGATGAACAATGTTTTACCTATGTATGAATATCAAATGCAAACGTGTATAAAGTATCAATCATTTGCAATGAACTATGACGTCACGATAGAAGATGACGTGCCAAAGCATTGTTATTTGTTGTCATAATTGAAACCTTGACCGATGAATTAACGTCAAGGGTGTGCCCCACTAGTGGCTAGCCAAAAGTGTTTACCGATTGCTAGCAGGTTTATTTAATGAGTCGGGAGTGAGGCAACCTATAAACCTATAATGAGTAGCGTGAGAAGTTATTATATCAATGACATTGAAGGTATTGAAGTGCTTGTGGTTTGCTTTCTGGAAAAACTCACACATTTAGAATAAAGACTGTATTATCAGTCAAACAGGAGAAGTGCAAGAGAATAAGTACAAAAATCTATAGAATCTAAAATTAAAAACTAGTGCAGGTATTGTGCAAGGATGATGCGGAATGTAGCGCTGATCTATCATTGAATGTTGAGGAAAGTTAAAATCATAACATACAAAGTACAATTTATCAGCAGTCTTCTCGTTACATTGCATTGGAGGGGGTGGGGTAGCTGTTTGTTACACCAAACTGTTTTGTACACGAGGATGATCGCCACAAGAAGGCAAATATCCATATGTTACGTTCTGAATCATCATTTATTCCATTGATATTAGTTCAGAAAACCAGCAAAAAATTATTGATCTCTTTTCTATATTTACTTGAGAATTTAGCATCATCCTTTAGGAGAATAGGTTATTCTTATTGTTTTACAAACTAATATTATCTACTGATGTATTTATCTCTGTCAACAGGTAGTGGAACTAACTTGGTGGCCGATGTTCCGAGACTGTCTCTTCTATCTTTTCTCCGTTATTGCATTGGTAGTTGTTATCCATGACAACCGTGTACACTGGTAGGTTTTTATCCCTTGCATTGATCACCGGGCGGGAGGAGAAACAGAATATCTCTCCTGTGTTATGTAGGTAGAGATATCCTAACATTTGTGGTAGGCTTTTGAGGTTCAGCACGAGGCTTTGTCGAGTGATGCTCCTCAAAAATCTTATCCCAAAGGTTAAGATATATTTCTTTATATCACTCAGGAGTGATTGAGTGTTTATCCGCCACACTTTCCAACTTCAATTTTCAGTTTCTGCGCAAAACATAATATGTAATCTCGTAACAAAAAGCACTCAGCGAGGGAAATAACTTTCAGTACAAATTGCTGTTAAAGAAACATTGCTGGACAACAGAAATAAGTATTTTTATGAAATTTAAATAGTGGCAGTTATTTTGTTCTCATTTTTTTTGGTAACATCAACCCCCCCCCCCCCCCTCCCCCTTGGTTTACCTGTAGGTTTTTACTGTCTACTGATTAACTGATATACAGCGTACCTAGTGGAAAGACCATGAACTGGAGTAATTGGCATATACATAATTGTCTTTAAATCCATTAAGGTGACATTGGTCATGTACAGCCAATCAACATCCATTGTGACCACAGTTGAATGGTCAATGTGTTTTCACGGCATATCTTCGCAGGCTTATAGATCATATTGAAAAGGAAAATATCTGTCAGTGGTTGATCCTGTTGCCCTTACAACCTTTATATCTGTCACTGAAGTAATGTTTTAACAGGAGGTTTCCTGTCATTTAAAAACACTGATAATTCATTTGTTCGTTTAATAGTTTTTAACATGTTAGAATTAGTAAATTATTCGACGAAATCATTTGTGAAACACCTACAGTTGTGTGTTCATTTTACAAGGGACAGGTCATTACCACATGACCAGCTGTATGCGTTCTATTTACTCCTTAGCTGCTGGTGTAGGTAACACACAGAAACACACTTGAAGAGTATTGTTTATGTCATATATATAGAAAAAAAGATATTAAAATCAAACAAACTCTTAGGATGTTGTTTTCTAAAATTGAAAACTTTAGTTTTTGCTTTCATAAATAGTTGCTATGCTATATTATTCCGGAATATCTTATTTTCTAGATTTGTCATATATTAACATTTTGATCGAGTAAAGCATTTATTTTATTGCCTATGATGGAACCTATCAATCATTAACATCGGCCGGTTTTAATGTAAATGAACGAGTGGATTACTCTTTGTTGTCATGCATATGTTTTCTCATGTTTATTAACACTTGTCTTGTCTCCATTTTTCATCAAACGGTTAATGGCATCTGATACATGAAGCTAGTTTTTAAAACATCACCGATGTTCTTATCCAGCACTAGTGAGTGAAATTGAATAATCATAGTATTATTATAGCAAATATAATGCTACAACATTAAATGTGATACTAATATTATATGTGATACTAATTAACCTATTTTAAACTCTACTATGATAAATGTTTTCCTTTGAAATAATACAGATGTCTATGGTAAAACAATAATGGTTATTTTTTTTGTGTGTTTACATATACCAAGTTGAAATCATAAAATAATAATATAATTAATGTATATTGGTATTATTTAATATTCAGTTTGATGGATTTTTCTTATTTTTTAAATTTTCATATGATGCAAGGATCCATTCATTATAAATACATAACTGAAATATGTACTTCAGTTTTGAAACTAGGATAAACACTGCAATGCTCTGGAATTAACACTAGTGTTGCACTAGAGTTAACATCGTAGTGCACTGGAGTTAACTCTGTAGTGAAATGGAGTGTAGTACAATGTTTTGTGTAGTGCACTATCATGTTTACTAGATGCGCACTACAAAGTGCACTAGATACCAAGTTTGGTTTTCTCCCAACTGTAGTGCTGAACTGCTGACTAGAGTAAGTAGACAAGTAGCTTTGTTTTAATTCACAACTTTGGAAACCAAATGCGATTTTTTTGTTACATTTTCTTCTTTCAAGAAAGTTTCATTCCGCAAATATCTAATTAAGTATTTTCGACCGCCCCCCCCCCCCCTCCTCAAAAAAACCTGGAGAGTTCACGATCGCGACAATAAAATGCTGATCTAAATCAATGTTCTAACATATGTGTTATAGGTACGAGGGGCTTATTCTCTTCCTGATGTACCTGGTCTACATTCTCGTGATGTACTTCAACAAAACTATTCATGCATTCGCTGAAAGAATTCGGGCAGATTTCAAATCAGGGAATCTAACTTACGATGCCGACAACAACCGACAAGGACTTCTGGAAGCACAAAAAGTATTGGATTCAGAAAAATCAACCGGAAATGACGAAAAGGCCAGAAATCAAACGGATGCTGAAACAACGTTCACAAATTCAAACACAGAGTCGAGTCAAACAGTAGCAGAGGGTAGGGAACTTATCATATTTGTTTCTGTACGAAATTTAAAAAAGTAAACTAAACATAGCTTTGTTTTGTTAAATATTAAAATGCACGAATCGAAATGAAAGTATCACCAAACATGTGAAGAAAAGAAGCACCCATTTTAAACATTTTCAATGCAAAAAGCAATTCATATTGATTATATTGATTGCATTGTCATATATATCATGTTCGTTCTGTTTTCAGAAGACAAATATGAATCGCCGTGGGTGATACCAGATACATTGGTCGCACGCTCGTTCTGGATTGCTATGCTTCCAATGAAGGTGCTCTTCTACGTAACTGTGCCCGACTGTCGGAAACCGTGGGGTCATTGGCGTAAACTTTACCCTTTGACCTTCATGATGTCGATTGTCTGGCTGGTGGGACTATCCTACGTCATGGTGTGGATGGTTGCTATAGCAGGTATAAATAAGACAAATTGTATTTCATTAGCTTAGGCAGAGTACATGTTATTTTGCTATTATCTTACTTCCGGTTTTGCTGTCATTTTTGAAGGGGTCTTCTCTGGATAGAATGACACTAACGTCATCTTCACTGACAAAGCAAAGCTTTATATAAGATATTATCAACATATTTTATTCAATCATGTATAAAATGATGGGGTAGGGTTGGGGGATGGGGAATGGTTAAGGAAGGCCACTATGGTCTAAATTTTCTCCACTTTATTTCTTGTATTTATTCTTTAAAACACTTCTAAACTAAAACAAATATAAGTGGAAATCAAGAATTGGATATGAGATTAAATTCTCTAGACAGTTATTCAACTTTGTTTATATTTCATTGACGGAAATATTTACATAGATATTAGACTAGCACACACTTTTCTATCGGAATGTTACAGATTGATATCAAACCTGAACATTCTGCAGTGATGGAGCACCTCTGACCGTTATTAAACTAGACATATACCTCATCGATAGACTTATAGTTCGTTCGATATTGAACTAGAACATATCCCATTGGCAGAATTTTATAGATCGATATGGAACTAGCTAACACCACAATGAAGGAATAAACATATACAGCTTAAATGGAACTCTACAGTAAATCATTGAACGAGAACCGATTAGCTCACATGAGTCAATGTTTGTACATATAGTTGTATCGATCATCGAGAAGTGTGTATTACAGTATTGTTACGTGGTATTGTCGAAAGGTTTGTTACCAAACATTTTTTGTAATTTTCAAATGCAAAGAAAAACACAAATTATTTTTGCGATCGATTAAAATGAAATGGAAACATTTTCAAGAACGGAAAATAACCTTAATTGGACATTCTGATTACTGCAATAGGGGACGGATAGTTCAATACAACGGCTATAACGATGTTGACTAGCTGTTCATCATAGCCAAACCAAATTCTGCCACAGCGGGTGTGTTAATAAGACGCCTCACCAATAACATGTTGTTAGCCGCAAGATCAATTTCCCTTATGGTTCTATTGTTACATAACCCCGGTCGTCTATGTCTTTATATCGAAAAATGTGGGTCCATCTTGCGATTTTGAAAGACGCATATTGCTCTTCCGGGGAAACCCAAGACATGTTTGCAGCCGGAATTTCTTTTTTTGGGAATTATTTGTTTTGATAGCATAATAAGCACAGGTCGGCGTTATACAAACGAACCATAATTTTCGTTATACGTACAAGTTTGAATGCATTTAAGAGGCACGGAAGTCTAGTGGTAGGACCCCGGGCTTATGACCGAAAGGTTGCGGGCTCAAGTCACGGCAAGGAACAGTGTTGTATCTTTGACAAGATTCTTTACTCCGCTTGTTCCAGTCTACTCATTTGTAAATGAGTTCATGGTTGGGCAGTGCTAGAATTGTAGAATGCTAACTGTGAGCGCCGAAATGACAGTACCGGCTATATGCTCCCCAGGAATCTGAGAAAGATATTGTGTGGTTGCAAAGGCCCTATAATCACGGATACTAATATTTTTTGAACCCTTTGAGACAACCTACGAACTAGATTGTGATAAAGCGGTATATAAGAACCTCGAATCATCAGTATCATTATTATTATTTGTTTACCGTTGAATGTTTTCTAATTCTAGAAAGACACAGTAACAGTTAGTTTTGTTTTATAAAAGTTTTTAACTATACAAGGTCGGGTAGTGTAAATTGAATGATTCCAAAGTAAACACAAAACGTCGCACTGTCAACCTTGATGGTAGTATTGTGAGGGTATCCAGAATGGAACACTTTTTTTATATATAGATATATGATACAGCCTTATTTCTGCATCACAAACTTTCTATTTCTTATCAAAATAAGACAGTTTTAAGCAATTAGGGCCATTTTTTCTGTCTGTATGTTGCTAATGAGTTGAATTTAAAAATTCAAAAGATGAAATGAAGCCCCAGGTTATGGTACGGTGCGACAACACCATTATGTATCAAATAACAAACAATTATAACATCCTTGCCATCAATACGGTCAAATTTTGGTTGGAAATATATATACGTAGAGGTAAGCAATTTATCGTCAAAGCTTCATGTATTTATATATACAGCAAATTTCAGTAAAGTGATTTTTTCGGCAATAAATAAAGTATTGCCCAGACCTTTATCTTCTCTGAAACAGTCATGGGTCTAAAAACGTATTGTATCGTGTAACAGATGACCGCTTCGAGATCCCCGACACAGATATTTGTCTGAAACTGCATTCTAATGTGTGTAAAAAACTAATGATGCTCGCTAGAGATGGCTACCTCAGTTATGGGTCTTTCATTATATCGTGTTTTGGTGTTTCAGGAGACGCCCTAGAAATCCCTGACACGGTCATGGGTCTAACTCTGCTTGCGGCCGGAACCAGCGTGCCTGACTGTCTCGCTAGTCTTTTTGTGGCTAGAGACGGTAAGTAATGTGAGCAGTTGTATACATTTTTAAGTAATCTTACACATCTGCCAAGTCTGGTCCAGGAGACGGAGAGTTGTCAGCTGAGCCGTTAATAACAATCCGTGATCTGACAAACTACACACACCATATTCGTCATGGTATGACAGTAAATAACCTACATTTAGCGAACATTTAATTTTTATTTTCCGCCAACAACCTCGTCACGAGCAACCAAACAACGAGTGCTGGGTTTTTTTCGTGTTTTTTTTTGTTCGTGTTAGACTGTCCTCCGGAAATTATGTAACAGTATATTTCTTTCACCGCCGACAGTGTAAGACAAAATTTCCCCATGATTGAAGGCAACGTAATATAAATCTGGCTTGCATGGGATTAATGTCACTAATCAGTGATAGTGCGATGACGTCATATCCCGTCAAGATTGACGTCATATCCCGTCAAGATTGACGTCATTTTAATCTACTTCTAGTATTGTACCTAAATTTTGTGCTGTCTTGTTTATGATTTGAAGTTTTTACTCAAAATGTAAACCAAAACATTATTAACGACCTTTTAGCGATATTATTTCAGTGTTATGGTTTTTCTTTATGCATTTTTCATTATTAACAAAGTTGATATTTTGACTCGAGACGGCTACACATCGCCATCACATGAATGGGTCAACAATGTAAAACGTCTAACTCTATCTCATGATAATTATGTAGGATAAACAAATCCCTGTACCTATGGAACAAAAATTGAGTTCAAAAACCTTGGCAAAAAGCCTTGGTTTTTGCCCGAAATGCTGTACCTTCGGGTGGGACATTTCTATTGTAATGTATATCATATGACAGAGTCCTATACTCTCTCTTGAAATGTATGTCGAATAGATCATAAGGTAGCAGTTTGACAAAGTATGGATTGTAACAGCGAATGAATATGAGGGGGAAATACGTGTTAATAGCAAGCTAGCTTTTCCAGTGATGAGGTATTACCCGGGGACCCGCTCACTAGTTCAGCAACGCCGAGCGTGGTCAGTTGGATGGGTTACCGCCCGCATGTTAGATTTTGTGGCAGCGTAGTGACGCTGTGTGATCGGTGTCTTCCCATTTATCTAACTTCTGAAAAAAGCTATTCCCATTTATCCAACTTTATGTTTTATGCCCTGTGGGTATGTTTGTTTAGTAGTATATTTTAATCATTAGGTGAAATAACCAAGACAAATTGTTCCATGGATAGAGGGAAAAGTATTATAGAGTGGATACATTTATTTAATTTTAATTCATTTAGAAAGGTGAAAGTATGTATAAAATATTCATGAGAAATATGATTAAATGGAAAAAGAATAATTTCAAGAAATAAGACAATCTTTAACTTTGGCATGAATATTTGATATATCATTATCAAATAATTACTTATATTTTTTCGGTGGTATTCACTTAAGTCCCAATTAATCTGATTTGAGCATATACCTAATTAATTACAGTTAATAAGCTTTGAACAGTGTTAAAGAAGCACCCAAGCCTTTTTCTACTAATTTATTCATACATTTTGAATACTACTCACTAAGCATCCCAAGCTAG